AGAATCAATTCTTTCGCCGATAAGCGTCACTCGTATGATATATTCCCTATTAGCTATATTTAAAGGATAAAGGAAAGAAGAGATATTTACGATACGCCTCTCATTCGTCATGTTAATTTAATGTCGTTGATCGGCGAGGGGCGACTGGCTTCCAGCTCTGCATTTATTAAAAGATATTAGCAAGTACATGACTTTAAAGCGAGCTTCGAAATGAGCATGTAAATGTGATTAATGTTGAGCCGTATTTTGCACTATCAAAAATCCAATCATATTAATTGTTATCAGTATCGTAAATACTAAATTTTAATGAACATCGTTACTTTCACAGGAATCTAATTGGATTTAATTGTCGAATTAAATACTAAACAAGCGCTGGTGTTTATTTTATTCATTTTCGCTTTTATGCGCATAATAATAAGCACGGCGTATAATATGATTGCCAACTCTTATTGTCATAAATTGCGTTTTAACAGTAATTCGCATTTCACGTACGTGGCTACGTACATATATCGGAATAAATGGAGATGCGAGCTTATGCAGGATAAAAGAAATTCGTAGTCTCCTTATAAATTCATTTATTTGCTGTTTCAGAATATTCCCAACTTTAAGAAATTCGATTTTAACTTTTAAAGAAGAATATATTCAAAGCTATTAGTCACATACAACTGTAATGAAATATTCATTTCCTCGTCATATAAGTCTCGGACAAGTAATAGTTAATAAATCGTCGTAGGCAAAACAAGCGGCCATTCCTATGTGTGTATTTAAAATGTGGACACCGTGATTTACATATTTTTAATTATATAATTATTTTTCTTCCCTCTTCGATTTTTCATTCGTTACTTCATACCATTCATTTATTCATCAAAGTTTTCATAGAATAACGAAATCATTAAAATACATATTAATACTAAATTTTCCGTGAATTAATTTCATCACAGGGCCATGTATGAAACACGAATAAATATCTTTGGGCTAAATTGTGACCAAGATAGAATGAAAAAAGCAAGTCGAATTATTTTATATATCAGCATTTGGTTATCATGGAAAACGTGTGAAGAAAGAATTTGTCAATAGTCGAATAAATAATTCGGAAGACCACAAAAATGTCCGAATAGTAGATATCATCGAGAGTTATCAAAGTAAAACATTCACGAGAACGTAAAGCGTGCCGGAATGTAAAATGTGCCGAAAAAATGATGATACTCGCGGCAACTTGTCAAAAGTATTTAAATTGTTAATTAATAGACGATAAAAAACCGAACACCCTCCGTCACACTATTAAATTAGCACAACAATAATATTCAATCGCAAAATAGCCGATACATTTAGTTCGTATTCAAAGGCATCACGATAACGAAAAATACTACGGCCTATGCTAGTGCGTCCCACCCCGCCTCTTTTCCAATTTTGTCCCTCCCTTCGTTATCTGGATCCTCCTTTGCAGTATGGAGCATAAGGGACAAATGTGTCTGCTTGCGTGACTCTCCTTATTCTAAGTGCAAGCAAATAAATCTAACAAAAGTCCAGCCCTCACTCATATTACATAATAATAACCCTCGGTAGAAACGTACTTGTGCCCACTCAACTATCGTCCGTTGTTCTCCGCATAACTGATCGAGCGGTAAAGATGTTAAGGGCTACTAGCGTCATGTTGAAGCAGTTGGCCCGCGTGGCAAATATGGACAAAAGAAAACGAGCCCTTAAAGGGGGTAAGAAAGTTGAAGACCTCACGCGCGTGTCGTCGACTCGCTAAACTGTACGGGGCCGGATGTTTGGCCGTGGTGTGGCGTTGTCGGCCATTCCTCTCCTTCGCCTTTTATCTATTTGGTTATTTGATTAGCGCTGATATCCGGCGAATGACGCCACCTGTGCATAATCACGATGGCTCCCGTATTCCTCAGCTTGACAGCACGTCGTACATCCCTCCTTACGGGGAGAAACGCCCGCACGTGTTACTAACAACCGATTCACTTTCCAGGGGGCTTCATCGTTTCTTTATGGACTCCGATTGCTTACTTTTCCTCCCCCGTCCAACTTCAATTCACCGCACCCTGGCATTTATTTAATTCAACATTTTTGAGAAGATAATTAAAACGATTTATATCATCCCCGGGAGCAATGGACTGTACTTGTACGCTAATGCAATCTCGAGTGTCACGTTTTTCGTATAATTACTTAAACGTTACTTGCGTGAACAGTCACGGGAAGCCTGAAAATTGCTTTCAACGTTCCATAGTAGTTACACAATTTTTACTTGACATCGCAAGCACATTCAAAGATATTTATAAAAATGAAAAAAAAATTAATATTGAAATACGGTAAGTTCAGTTTTTCACCTTGCGAATAAAATATTTCTTTAAGAAATTGTTTAAACACGTACTTCAAGTATTTTTACTTATGATACTAAAATAATCAAATGCCTATAAAATGTATCTAACTTCTTTTTTATATTATTTTACGTTTCAAATAAAAATTTGCACAAGTAGCTGTAATTAAAACTAAATATTTTATCCATAATGATTATTGTCAAAAATAGCTCTTTATTGCTTATAAGCAGTTTTAATTACATCCTTGCTTAGATATTAGATTTATTTCCAGTATTTTATTAAACAAATTTAAGATACTTCTTATTTCATTATTAATTTAATTTACTAACGACTTTTTATTAGTGTCATTTCTTCATTTATTAATTTTTGATGATCCTAAAGATATACAAATATAATAGCTATTGTAATTAATTTAATATATTTATCTCTTTCAACATTATATGCGATAAATCCTACAACACATTTAAAAAAAAAGTACACAGTAACTTCTTCATTTAGTCTATCATAATTTGTAAAATTTCTAATTTTAAAAACTTCTAAAATTAATTGTTTTAATTATTTATTAGCTTACTCTAACGTATAATTATGCAGTAAAATCTAACCGAAGCAGCAAATTTGCTTAAATTACTCTCACATCGATCTTCAATAATATTAAGTATAAAAATAATGTATTAATTCGGTTCTTCATCAACAAATATGTTGTAATCAAATTTAAGAAATAAATATGATAGAATGTTCGTTTATTGGTATTTAAATATTTAGCAACCTGCATAATTGCCAAATTTTTATGTATATCACAATTTAATTAATTTAATTATGAAATCTTTTGTAGCGATAAGAAGTATATTAAACTCCTCGTTGATGTCAAAATGGAACAAGAAAATTAAATTTTCGATTTACAATAAAATTAGATATATATTTTCAATTTATTTATTTTCAATTTAACTTTTAAAATAAACTGTAACATTCGTACGATATTATTCTATATAAAAAAATCTTTATATGGCATATTTAAAATTGTGTATATGTATAATATACATAAATAATAACTGGATTATAATTATATATTTTATATATAATTATATATTACATTAATTATATATAAATTTTACTGATTAATTTTACTGACATTATTTTCTACCATATTCCTATGAAAACCTCGTTAATATTTTATAATTAATAATTAATTAATATATAAGCAACATATCGTTCAATTCTTAATTCTAATCCATAATGCAAACAATAATAATAATACAAACTTATTACTGATATATGATTCAATTCATAGGCAGATGAAAATCACATAGTGGATTAATTAATTTTAAAGTATTGCATAAAAATATATTATTTTCTTGTATGCATAACAATAATCTGATTTCAAATAGAAAGGAAAATTTTCTTTAATAATTGAAATTTGATTAAAATTAAATATTCATATTTAAATTAATGAAAAAGTAAGTCTATAATCGTTCATTTTTTAAATAAAAAATAATGTTCCGTATGCACGGTACATTTATTATAATAAACAAAGTACTAATTTTGAAGAGAAACTAAATTATTGATGGTGAAATACAATGAATAACAATACTTTTTATGTTAATAATGTTAAGGTAAAAGGTTAAAATTTGAGCGTTACTTTATAATCCTATTCAAATAAATATCGGCAATAAATATTAAATACAAAAGTAAGCCTTCGTGCATAAATAATCCCAAATAATAAATTACTTTTATTATTATTTATATCAAATATTTAAATTGTACGATTATTAGATGTCACAGATTTTATTAAGAACATTTACTTTCAAAGCTCTTATAACATGCATTAATGTACTGCTAGCATAAGAATAATTCTTAATTAATGCGTTATAAAACTTGCTAATTAAGACATTGGGAATGAAATTCCCAATGTTTATTTTCAAATTCAAAATATAACATTAAAAGGTGAATATATATAGCAGAATATTTTCTACTGTTACCACTATAATCGTGAAATTATTGAAGATGTCAAATTGTTAATACAGACGTAAGCAATTACAGTAATTAACCGCAGCTACTGCAACCTTAAATTATCCTCCACCTTCAATGCATTCACAAGATTTGAGTAGAATTTTAAAAATTAAGAAAATAAAGAAATCTTACCCGGCGATAAAAATTAAGTAATAAACGCTTAATATTACTACTCCTCACGTGTACATAAATTATGAGCCGAAACGCAAAAAGAAGTTTTATTATTGGAACACTTAATATATCGGTAATTGGATCCCATGAGCTATACATAACAAAATATAAGTTATAAAACAGTAAGAATAAGGAAGAGTGAGATGACGGGAGGATAACGTAGGGGTAGGGGTAGGTAAGGGGGGATGATTCATAAGTATATTTAAAATCATAATTCTTGCAAATTACACGCGAATTCGTATGATTATGAATCTGGCACGAAAAATGCCAGTTGCAGAAAAGAAACCAATAGTCGATCCTCCTGCCCCTTTATAAAACGTTCTTAATACATGATTTACGCGTATTGCATATAATTGCAATAATTGGCAGCAAAGAGCTGCTTGGAGCTGCCCGGACGAGATAATTCGCGAGTTTTGGAATATGGGCTGCCTTCCCCGAACTCGCGTCGGTACTTAATGTAGGCTTCGGGGCGCGGGTGGCATAGCTACTCACCTGAGAGCCGTGCGCGTCATCCTCCCGGTTACCATCCTCGGCTTCAAGCGACGTCAATACTCTCCCTAGTCCGTGCCGCGTCTTCGGGAAGCGCGCCTCGAGTACTGACTCCGCGGTTCCACCGGTCCGCGAAAGCTCCGCAGCTCCAGCTAGATGCGGATGGGGGTAGAGCCCGATGACGATTGGCGGTGCTCGAGCGCTCTCAGCCCTCCCATTGGTGCGCGGGGATTCGAACGCGGCTGCTTGAAAAAGGTGACGCACGACGATGAAGCCGGCGAGGAGCTTAGGCTCCGTGACTGATCGCCGCGTCTCGGCTGGGTTGCGCGTGCGCGAGCTGCGCTTTCTTAGTCCTCCCGTCTTAATTTGGGAAAGCGCTAGTTTTCCTGGCCTGACCCACACGACGGTCCACTCCCCCCGGGGATCGTCAGCAGCGCTAAGAGCCTGGCTTGCCCGCTGGAGTGAATTATTAAAATCATTTAACGAGGCATTTCAGGTTACGCTCTGAGCCATATATATGTACAAAGTTTAATTACACTTATTAATTAACATGCTGCTTTTTATGTTGCAATATAATTATACTTATCGGTAGTTTTTCACTGGATATTGATAAAAATATCGCGTCCCCGTTCTTTATTTCACAATGACTTTTGAGGAATATCGATTGTTTTGATATTTCATAATGTTCAAATTTTTGAGATATAATGAAAATATACACGATTTGATTTATTTAAGTAAATAGGCTACGTACGTCCAATTATGCTTAAAATACTTATGCATAAACTGTATTGCTATTTTTATGTGTTCGATATGCGTCGAAAACTCGGTGCGTAGAGAATGACAAGCATATTCGAACCATGAAACGTACTAAAGCATGAATATAATTGGATATAATTTCTTAAAATACGTTTCTTCCATCAAATTTTTAACGATTCTTTTATGACAAACAAATTTACTATATTGGTTATTAATAAACAATAATGAAATATATAAAACTCTGTTGTTATATTTCAGAAATAATTATGATATAATACTGTAATTCTGATTAATATGTGCATTTTCAATAAGCTAAATGTATCTAAAGATCCATTTTCAGAACCTCTCGAGTTATAATTCATGCTCTAGTATTTGATAATAAATTATCAAATGAAAGAATTTCACTTTAGATAAGTATCTTGTATTTAATCTTTTTATTCTTAACTTAATTTAATAATTACGTGGTGATACGTTTTTTAACGCTTAGATTTTACCTACATAAACAGTGAAGTGGGAAAAACACTCGTTCAAAAGTGTTATCTAATAAGTATATTTATTGTGTAAGCTTGTAAATTTTTGAAATATGAAATGAAACTTTATATTAAACGGAAAAATACTTTTTTTTCATAATTAAATTCTGTTATCAAATTATAATTATCTAAGAATTCATTTTATGTTTAACAATTTTATTAATAGAAAAAATTGAATTAAAACAAGCAATAAATAAGTATAGAAGTTCGTGACAAAAAATCTCATAAAGATAAACGGAAGAGGGTAAAGCGGAAAATGATATATAGATACGTAAATAGGTACGTAACGCAGAAGCGAAAATAAGTAAGAGGGAAGTGAAGAAATAGAGAGAGAAAGAGATATGTAGAGGGGGGGGGACACATTCAGAAAAAGAGTGGCGAAGAGGGAGAGGGAGAGGGGGGAAGAGCGAGAGCGTGAGGGAGAGGGGGAGGGAAGGGGAGAGAGAGAGAGAGAGAGAGAGAAAGAGAGGGAGGTGAGAAGATAGGAAGTGTTATGGAGAAATGAAGAAGATAGATATGTGTGCACAGTGCCTACCGTGTATAGTCGAAGATTCCAGGAGATACCTTCTTCTAATTAACGGAATTACTTCCGCTTTGTAAGAACGGTAATTTTTTTCCTACACATTATTCTTTCCTATAATCGGTCGAACATATAATAATAAGCGACTGCTTAATTCTTTTGTCCAATTGCATCATTTTTTTATATTATAATTTACCTTTTCATTAAGAGAAATAACATTTTTTTAAAAAGCAATTTAAACTTTTACTCCTTGATTTTGTTTGCTTTCTCGTTGCATTAAATTCACTTTAATTTGCCTTTTTAAGCCTATAATGACGAAGTGGAATGCTGAATGTATGAAATTTATGAAACCCACGCGTAAGTTCATGTTATCATTGAACAATATCTAGTATTTTGAATATTCAGTATTAAATATTTTAGTTCTACCTTTTTCTTATTAATATTAGACTAATTTGCTTAACATCTGATGTAGTTTTCAAGTTTCTCGTGATAATAAAAAGACAATGTTTTTTCCATATTATATTTTAGGTGAACATTGGCAATTGCATTCGAATCATTTTTAAATATACAGACCAAAAGTGATAATATTAATACTGCATATAGCAAAATATCCAACTTTTATAAAATGATACACTAATTATCGAAATGTATAAAAAAGGAAAATTGCCGTCAAACAAGGTAATCAACTGCTACACAAGCGAACACCTAAAAATTGAAGAAAAAGGTATCAACAAATTACAGCACCAAATCATAAATTATTCATACTCTTTGGCTCAATTAAAACTTTATTACTCATTTTCATTTGAAAACACAAAAATTTCACATCATCAATTTACTTGTCAGTGCTAATAAATGCAAGTCGATTCTCGGCTATGTAAATTTCGATAAAACGAGTACACCACCGAATAAAAGGGCAACGTGGAAAAAAAAAAACGAAAAAAACTCGTGAAAAAGGTACGATAAGAACAATCAATAAGCTTGTTAATGATACAAAATGTTTCTGTTTCGATATAAATTATTGAGCAAGCGGATCTTGTTAACAACTCTGTACACTTTGTAGCCACGTGCCAATTTGTAAAATCTCTCTCTCTCTCTCCCCTCCCTCTTGCTCGCTCTCCCCCTCCGCGATGCCTTTATTTCTTGACTCTAATTTTTTTTCATAATTTTCTCTTTAATTATTTAGTTTTTATACATCGTTTAATAATCTTTATTCAACTTTTTGTCTTCATGTTAATTCTGACCTTATTTAATTTAATATTGTGCTCCATTACTATATACTTTGTATGAAAATACTTTATACAGTTTTCATATAAATAGCACAGCCACATTTTTTTGAAAATGCATTAAAATTTCATATTATAAGCTTCTTTATGAAGTCATTTCAAATCGGCAAATCTAATCGTAAGCTTAGTAATGAAAATTCCATTCTATCATAGTTAAAGCATATATTAATATGTTAAGACGTTGGGAACACTCACATTTTTGTATAAATTTATATATAAAAACTCTTCTCCTTATAATTGAACGAATATTTAATTAATCGAGTATTGATTAAATTCGACATTATTTATAATTTGTTAGCTAAACAGTTATTAATTAGAGTCTAACTTTCTTTTGAATATCTATCTTTTCAACGCAGCGAGGTGTTAAATAAAAATTATTATTGTTCATTAATTATTAATAAAATATTTTAAACGCTTATGTGAATTCTAAAATTTCGCCAAGCTATTTTTTTATGTTTGTACTAAATCGTCATTATACTCGATATATTAACTTAAATTTTTTCGTTATACGACTTAACAGATGCGAGTTGGTTTTATTTTTGTTAATATATAAATTAAAAAAGTTAAAACAGATAAACATATTTTCAGTACTCGAAACTTGCATATTACATAAATATAAAGTAAAAAAAAAGCACAAAATTTTTATAATTTTTAATATGTCTAAATATATGTGTATTGAAATATTACGTTAGGAAGGAATTTCGTACAATGTACGAAAATATTCTGCATATTTAAAGAATTTGAAAAATATTCGATATCGGTATTAAACGACGTAAAAAAAAGTAAGGCTTAAAATTTATTTTAAATCGGTCCACACAAAAAATTACCACTGTTAATAATAGTTCGATATTTTGTAAATTTTACGATAATTTCCTTTTTAATAATACTCAGTATCCTTATATCCTATACTCATTTAATATAATTTAACTATAATTTAACTATAATTTAACTATAATTTAACTTCATATAATAACAATTAATATATTGATATATTGATATACATTGATGTTAAATTTAAAAGTAAAAAAGGATTTTATTAATGTTTTGCGACCGAGTATTACACAAAGTGAAGAAAAATGTTTAATTTAAGTGTAAATTTATTTAATTATAAACAAATATAATGAATAAATTTCAGTCAAATTACGTAATACAAAAAAAAATTTATATACCGTTTTAATTTATAGTGGGCACAAATTTTACACCCTATCAAAATTAATTAAACAGATGCAGTTTTTGAATTTTATGAAAAGTACAAAGCCCGTCAGTATTTTCTGAAATATTGTACAACTTTGAAATAGAATCCGCCTACGCGAAGGAACGACTTTTGTGAATGCGTATTGATTTTCTGTCGTGTCCTAACTATCACCGTTTATTCGGCATTAAAATACCGTTTATATCGCGATTTAATACTCGTTTTTACAAACACGCAACAAAAACAATACCATATATATCCAAATAAATATTGCGTACAACGGAATTAAACTATCTCATTAATGTATATTGTCGATTAACATTAAAGACCAAAGCTAATAAAACTTTATCAAGTAAATACTCAAGAACTTCACATAGAAATAAAATAATCAAACATGTTTTACGAAACTTTTTCACCCTCCACCTCTCCATACATAGTGCGAAATTCGCAATGACTTTGCGTGAGCAGTGAAAAAGCAAAAAATTCCGTCGAGTGTTCGATCCGGTCGCGTGCCTTCGATAAGTCCCATCGATAAATCAAAGGTACACTCAAGCACCGGCCCCTGTTCCCTAAATATTTATCATATTGCATGTAAGTCGCGGGTGTGCCCGGCGGCTAGCAAGGAGCTAAAAAGAAATTGATTATTCGCCCCCGCAATGTTCGTCCCCTCGCTTACACCCCAGATGAAAGTGCTCGGGTGCGTGAAACGCGATATGCGCTAGGGCGACCTGAAATCCTGCCCCGGGAAAGCGCCTGAACTTTTCTCCATGTCTTTGTGCCAGGGAGAAGCGACATCGGCTTTGTATTGCCGCGTCGACACCGTAATTGCGAATAATGATTTT